CCGCGGCCAGGACAGGGAAGCAGGAGGAGAGACAGTGCCGGGGCAAGGGACCTTGCAGATTTGTCCCTTCCAACCGAGAGGAGGGACTCTCCTTCCCTTGGGCAGCTGTTTGCTTCAGATCCCTCTGCTCCCAGAGGGGCATTTATAAGGCAACACATTACCCTCCTTTATTCAGATGAGTTCTGAAACGCAGTACCTCTATTGCCATTAGACTTGGAGGCTGACTCATTTCCAGCGGGTTTCACCTAGAGACTTTCCATAAAGGAAATCAGATTTTGAAGGGCAAGCTGCAATTTGCTTTAAAGTGCTTTAAATAAAACAGCCCAAAGAACACGCTTTACTTCCTTCCCCTTTCAGCGGTGGCCGAGAGACCTGACATCAGCAATGTCACACTTGCAGCCACTCTTCAACAACAGCCTGACAAAAGCTTTGGGTTTTGTTCTTCTTTTCCTATGTTCAGCCTCCAGGAGCAGCCTGGCCAACGCTCTGCGCCCCCTGCCACAGGCAGCCCCATCCCCTCAGCCCAGGCAGGCACCCCCAGGGGTCTGTCCCATGGAGCAGGGTCAGCCCCTTGGGGGGCTGGAGGACCTCCTGCCATCCCTCCTGCCGGCTGCCACCACCGCAGCACCCACACCCCTGCACCAGCCATTCAACGGCACTAGCTCAGCCAAAAGCAGGAGTAATTTGAAAAGCATGGGGTTTAGCACATTTAGGCCATTCGGTTTAGCTCCCTGGGTGCAGCTGGCAGCTGTGTAATCTGCACAGTTGCACCGGGCTGGCAGGGACCTAAAATGGCTTCAGGATTGCTAATCCCAAAACAGATGTGCTGGGAGTAGTATGACACTCATGCCACAGGCTGGCAATTATTTTCCATACAACACACATCCAGCAATTCATTTTTCCCAGCAGTTTGCAGCCTGGTCCCTTTTTCGGGGCAGCGCAGGGGCCACTTCGTTTTTGTAAGGCATTTTCAGCGGAGCAAAGGCAACTTCAGGAGCAGCGCCTATCTGGATCAGGAGACGTGGCCAATGCTCAGTGCCACGCATGCTCCCACTCCACCTGTGGCACTGGGAAGTGGGACTTGCTGGGAAGCCAGTGCTGCACTGCCATCCTCCCCAGAGCCCGGCAGCACAGAGCGCAGCTGGAGCCGTGGAAAACCTCCACAAATTATCCGCTGAATTGGGAATGTGAAACTCTACCCGTGAAAGTTCAACTTTGTAAAATACGCTATGGAATAGCTGACTGGTATCTGAGGAACGTGTCTCCTGACGCTGTTTCAAAAACGTTAGTGCAGGCAAATTCCTAGAGAAGGAGCGACTTTCTCAGTTACTGAAATTTTGAATCAAAAAGAAGAAAACTTACCAATATTAATTTCATCATCTGTTAGGGTGTCACCAATAAAGTCGAACTGAAAGGACTGCAAAGTCTGGGAGAATTTCTGTACTGCCGATGAGTAACCTGGAAAAGGACAGAGCAATAAGGCTGTGTATTTTTGCAATTGCTCTACAGAAGCAGCAAGTCTTAGAAATTTAGCCTGAATGGAACAAAACTATCGTGAGGTGGTTAGAAAAATCCATAGGCATAATGAATTTATGCACTTCAGAAAGTGTTGCAAAGTTAATATCCATTAGAGGCTGCAGAGAGCATGTGCTTTGTTTTGTCTTCTTTTTCTTTCTCAGTGTTGTTGAAAATGCTTCTGCAATACTAATGGATGCACCAAATCGTACAAACAGCCGATCAACAGCCTCAGGTCCTGCTACATACAGAAAGAGACACCGACACGTTTCCCCTGCAGGAAAACATGCAGCTTCAAATGTAGCATTCACCACCACCGCAGGAACGTTTTCAGAGAAGCAGATGTCCCCAGTGCCACACATGCATCAGCACAGCTCCTCGGAGCACGGAGGCTGTCAGACCGGCTTCTCGCTGTTCAAAGTAATTTTTTCATTATATGGGAGAAAAATCCATAGAATCAGAAAATAAACATGGGGAAAAAGACAGGACCCAAAATAACTGCCCCTCTTTAGGGGGTCACAGACACAAACAGGCCCTCAGAGAAGTATGACAGTGTTACAGGCGAACGCAGTGAGCCAGAGGGCTCAAGCTGTGCTCGTCAGAGTGTCTGCAGATGGCCCTGGGACCTGCTCCTGCCCCGCTGGTGAAGAAATGTTCACTCTTGAAGCAAAGACACTTCCTGATGGCGGTTGGTAGCTCAGCCCAAATTATTTTTGGACTTTCCAGAGAAGTTTCTAGCCAAAAGGACCCTTTGTGTCTTTGCATCCTGTGCGGCTGCTTCACAGCTTCGTCAGTGGCTCCCTTGTTGTGAAGGCGTCTGCTGACATTGGCAGAGAAGCTGCAGCCGGGACCGGGCAGCGACAACGCAGCAGACCCCAGCGCCAAAATCACCCACCCAGTGACAGCTGTGACAGCCACAGGTAACACTGCACCGCAGGAAAAAACAAGTCCTTCTCCCACTGGCAGAGCACAAGAGGGAGATGCAATGGATTTGACAGCCTCACATCAACCACATCTTCCCGCACAAACTTAGACGCTTTTCGGTGGTGTTAGTCTTTCTTCAGCAGCAAATACCCGAGATACAAACAGGAGGAGGCTGAACTTGCCTGACCTTGGGGAACGGGATGTAGACCATAAAACAAAAGCAAAGGAACAATTTTATACTTTGATTTACATTGCTATTTTCCCTAATTTTGGGTTCCAGCTATAAGCACTGTCGCAGGCTGGATTGCTTTGTGGGGGTGCACAGGACCTGGCGCTTTCTGAAATACAGGAATCTGCAAGTGTGGAAGATGCGATGGCACAGATGTTCACATGCAACCAGCTCACAACCCCTGCTTTGGCAATCCAGGGGAAGGATTGCCGTAACAGAGCAACTCTGTGTACATGGTTTCAGGTTTTTTTTTTTTTTAATTTGTCTCTTGGTTTAAAGAAATAAGACAAGCACAATCACTTTTGGCATCAGTTGTTAAAATCCGGGGGGAAATAACAGCCAAAAATGAGATGAGGAATTAGTGAGGAATTGTGTCTGCACAGTATAGGCTACGCCCGGTATTTCTAGCCTAAGGAAAATGGCGATCTGGGTGTATTTTTGTTTATTCTTTTCCATCACAGACTCAGTGACAAAAGAACTTATCACCACGGTGGCAAACATGGGGTCTTCTGAAACACCGCTATGAAGGGGAGAGAAAAATTGGACAACACTGAATTGGACGTGGGGAAAAGAAATCAAGTGGCTCACGTGGGATCCCGGCAGGTCCCCAGACTGCTCTGCATCCCCTGTCCCCAGGCTAGGAGCACCCCAGAGCCCCCTGGCCCTCCCCAGGGCTCCTGAGCAACCACGGCATGCAGGGACAGACAGGTCCCCAGCCTGGGGAGGAGCGTGGCCTCAGAGTGCACACAGTCCCGGCTTTTCCCTCAAAAGCCTCGTTCAGCAGTTTCCTCCGACGGGTCAAACCTTTGCTCCTGAATGGGCAGATTCAGGCCTGAATGTCGCTATTTAAGCACAGCTGCCGGGGGGCTGAGAGCGTGTAAATGGGTGAACTCCAGCACAGAATGATGTCATTGATTTGATGGAAAACCTCAGCAAATAATTCACTCTCAGTCCCCGCAGCGTTCGCTTCAGGCTGGGGCTGGAGGCTCTCATTCAGTTGTTGCTCAGGGGAATCTTTGTCTCCCTGCAAACACTCCTCGTCTTCCCTGGATGCTGCTGATGGCCCTTGCCCAGCTCCTCCTCGCACCTCAACTATGTTTATTAGCGGGTGAACTTCAATCACTCCGTTTAAATGCCCACCCTGACCCAGCGCCGGGTCCCCACGCAGCCCCTCTGAAAGCCAGCAGCACCCAAAACGACTCCTCACATCCCACCCTCCCACACCCCCGGCGCAGCACTGGATCCATCACCGGCCTTGCCTGCCCCAGTTGGTGCCTGTCCCTCTGTCTGGTGTCCGTCTGTCCCCCTCCACAAGCATGGGTGACATGGCACCGGCCAGCTCCAGCTGCACGTGTCCCCGTGAGACAGGAGCACGGCTGCACACACAAATCCCACAGACAGCGCCTGCGGGACAGAGGGTTTGCATGCACCGTTTTTCCATCGCATGTGTCAGCACAGTGTTTAGCCCCAGCATCGGAGAAACGGTCCTTGGCGAGCTGCTTGCCTTTTGGTTTTTATAGAAACAGGGGATAGGGCAATGGCAGAGAAGGGTTTGAAAAAGCCAAACACAATAAATTTTAACCAGAAAAAAAGAAACAGTATAGCTGATTTAAGTTACATTTTGCTTTCAAAATGTTGTCTAGCCTGAAAGTTTATTTTCCAGTTTTCTAGTTGAAGGAAATTCAGGTGGACGTGCTATAAACCACATCTCACATTAGCTTAACAGTGGAAAAAAAAAAAAATGTGATCCCCTTAATCAGTCCAGCCCTGTTTGGTTTCGCTTGGGACAAGGAATTTCTTTCATTTTGGGGAGCCATCCTCATCCTCACCTTCAGCAAAGTCAGGAGTAGGAAGCCGCGGCTGCGACCAGTGACTGTGTGCATTCACCTCACCGTGCCACCCTGCTGCCTGGAGCTAACGCCTGCTGAAGATGGCAGCCATCCCTGTTGTCCCACGCCGAGGTGACAACCACCAAGGACATCCCTGGGATGGCCAGGGCAGCCGCCCAGTGCCATGTGCAGACCCCACCATAGAAAAAACAACTGTGGAAGACGTAGAGTTAGGAAAGGAGAGGACAAGCTGGAGGGACAGCCAGTGCTGCGAACGCCTGGCGTGGCTCCTGAGGAGCATTTAATGGAAACCAGACTCCTACAGACCAACGTGACTCGTCCTTATACACGTACGGAGCCTTGGCTGAACACTGGCTTCTGACAAATCCTATATATACACACGGGACAGAGAGCATCGGGTACTGCCATGGTGTTATGGGTGTTATCATAACGATGGGGTGTTTATTGGGAAATTAACAGAGGGATGACTCTGGCAGCTGACCCCGCTGCAGCAGTGCCTGCTGGCACCAGCCACGGAGGGAAGAGAAGATGCTCATGCCTGGCGGGTTATGTCCCTGCGGGGTCCAGCAGCCAGGACAGCACCAGGGCCTGATACAGAGCCATGAACTGCTCAGAGACACTCGGTGGGAAGTCACCCTTTCCCTCAGCAGCTCCCGAATGGTGGCATGGTGACACCAGGGGACAGGGAGAAGGCAAGGGGGGCTGGGGAGAAAGGGATGAGCCGGAGCCGCAGGAAAGCAGCTCGACAGCAGGAAGGGGCCACTGCGGTCAGCAGCTGGAGCTGGGCAGGAAGAGATCAGCTGTGGAAAAACAGGGCTACATCTCCACACTGGAAGAGATAAGCCCATATTCTCCCTCATTTTAACAGATACTCGGAAGATTTTTCCCCCCCCGATACAAACACATGGCTGCCAAATGCCCCCCGCTTTGCACACCCGAATCCTGGCAGCGGGGAGAGGGTGCGGGCTGGAGAGAGGTGGCTGCAGGGTCTGTCCTGAGCACACAGCACCAGGAATGCATGCGGAGAGCCGGACCGTCGCTGAAGGAATAACACTGTGCTTCCGAGCCACGGGTATCACTGCAAACAGCACGCAAAGTCTCCCCACCTCCAGCAGCCTCTTGGTACAGCTCAGCCCATTTCTCTGGAAATGCACCAAAATGAATTCGATCAGGAATCCTCTAGGACTCTTCTTCCTTACAGCGTTCAGTACGTGATGCCAACTTTCACAATCTGCGGTCACAATAATTTACTCTTCTAGTAAAAATAAAGTCCCATCTTTCTGCACAGAATAACCTCAGCCAAGCTGGGGCTGGCAGGAGGGAGGGATGGAGTGCCAGCTACAGCCTCACTACAGTTTTAAGAGGTACACAAAGAACTTTCTGGTTGGATTTATGTATGTATAAACACACCTCCAGGGACTGCAGCTATTGAGGGATGTGCCCCACAGCCTGTTCAGCAAAGACCTAGCGAGGATTCTCATTTCAGCCTTTCACAGCAACCATAGATAACCGAAGACTACAAACAAAAAAGGGATCTCTGTGCACCAGAAAAGGAGGGCCATGCTTAGGCTGCCTCATCTAATATCACAGGGACACAACGTGATGCTAGGTGTCACAAAGATGCAGAGAGAAAGCAGCAAGATTTTGAGAAATAAACACTTTATAAAACAACACAAAACCTCCTACTGTGTAGAAGAGGAGTCACAGAGCATACGCTTCACTTCTGCCAGGACCAGCCTGCCCAGACCCTCACACAGGTTATTCATACCTAAACATCCCCTCGTTAAACCAATTATTTTACATTTGTTAGCTGCGCAGCAGTTGGTAAAGCCAGCACCATTTCTACTTCTCCCTCGCAAACAGCCAGGCAAGAAGCACTGCTCCTCCAGGAGTTCAGGGGCCAAACGGGCAGTGGGTTCCGCAGGTCTGTGGCTAATCCT